TCACGGGACATTATCCATTCATATATCAGGGGTATATCAAATATATACCCCGTATATCAACTATATACCCAGTATATATACTGTCCCGATTACATAAAAAATAACCTTGGATGTTTAGTTTATTGGATTTTGGACAATGCAAAGCTATGATTCAACAACAAATTTATTGAATAAAACTTTATTAAATATACATTTGTTTTTACAAAATACAAACTACGAGTTTAGGGCAACACACCCAACAAGTACAACATCTGGGAAGTAGAGGGAAGGGTAAGGGGAACAATTCAGTGAAGTGTTCAACAGGTTGTTGGTATAATACCCCAGCTGTCAGACGGATGAGCGAGCTGATGAAGTCGCATAGGCGAGATAATGCATTGAGAAGAAGACTACAGTTGGTGCTAAAGTCAAGGGTAATGTCTCTGGAAAGGCAACAAACTTGGGTGGGAGTGTCAAGTCATCAAGGGAATCTTCCTTTAGAGGTCGTTGGGTTTGATCGAGAAAGGAAGCGAAGGGGACCACTTAGATCGAGTGGGAGCACGTGGCTGTGTCTCTAGTGTCTGGGAGACAAGACCACGTAAGATTGCTCAGTCTCGGGACAATCACATCACAGACAGAGCTTGGGTAGCGTCGAGCAGTGTGGATCAGTTCGTTGATAGAGCAGTCAGAACTGTGCCTTGACAGAGGATGTCGAGATGATGGAACACTATTGATGCAGTGGGAGATGAAATTGTTATTTTGTCTCCAAATGGGAGATTGTTGGGATTTTTTGGATACAAAATAAAATAAATAAATAAAAAGGAATGAGTGCAAACAAATAATGGACCAAAAGCCCAAACCTTTATTTTTAGGTTTCACATACTCTATGTTTTGTGGGGAGTAGTCGTCAGAATTTTAAGGGGCAGTCGAATTGGGGTTTTTTGCAGTAGTTTTTGTGGCAGCGGCTCGAGTATTGGCAGAGACATTGAGAAAGATCAAGATCGTCTTTATTGGGGTAATTGTATCTTGTGGGTTTTTCATTCCTGTTCCTAAGTATTATTGTGTTAAAAAAGATAGGAGTTAAAAAGAGATTTCGAAATTAAAGGAACTTAGGCTAAGGTTTGATATTCACGGTAAATACTAGACTTTGGCTACAACCTATTGGTAAAAGTAAAAGATAACATGAAGAGTGAGTTTGAGATGATTTTGAGAAATGCAAAAAATATTTTTAGCCCTTTTTCTTTTTAGTACATTAAAGATACTTTCAAAAGAAAAAAAAATATTGATATTTTTAGCCTTTTTAATTTAAAAATTTTGAATAATTGAATCAAATATGGTACTTTTTAACATTTATTGTTATTCCATTTTCATCCTTTGAACTTTTAGGACAAATTATCTTTTTGGCCTGAAGTTTGGGTAGTATAGTTATTTTTAATTATTACTTTCATTTTAAAAGCATGATGTCAGCTAGGTTTATTATTAAAAACACCATGTAAACTCTTTTCTGTTAAGTTAGGCTAACAAAACACCTAAAGCCAAGGACTAAATTGAAGTATTTTCTAAATAGTGAGGGCAAAAGTGTACCATTATGAAATCTATGGACAAATTCAAATTATGCAAAAAAAAAAAACTCACTAAGAAGATGGAAATATTTAGTTTAGTTCTTAGACTTTCAATTTATTCTACTTTTCACTTAACTATCGAAATGTTTATTTTGTCCACAAATTTTAAAAAATAATCGTTTTAGTTCTTCGCATTACTTTTTTACCAATTGTTTAATTGATGAATAAAATGGTTTCGTATGTGTATTAAGGTGCTAAAGTGGGCAAGTACTAGAATTATAAGTTAGATATTATTATGAGGATGGATATTAAGGGAAAGAGAATAGTAATAATCAAAATGGTTATCTTTTGAAGCTTAGGAGATGATATATAGATTGTTGAATGATAAACAAGCTATAAGTCGAAAGACCTCGAACAAGATAGAAGCGGAAAACTCCAATTTCTTTAATTCGAAAACAAGCATTCCAACGCTCCGAGTCCAACTTATGTAAAAAAGAAAGAATCAAAGAGGCAAATATCAGAGATGTTACTTATTACCTAAAGCTAATACAAAATCAAGTTCAACCTCAAGGATTAAATTTCTTTAACCTAAATTAAAATTAAAAATTTGCCAGATAGATAAATAGCACAACCCATCATCATCATCCTACAAGCAGGGCACTGGGTTATCACATTTTGGGCTTAATGGCCCATTACTAGAGCCCAACTTTATTGGGCTGAGGCCTTTCTAACATTGTAAAGTACCATTCTACCCCTAAAACATACACACTTCACAGTCCCGAAAAACCCAAAACCTCGTGTTCTTCTTCTTGGTTCTCACCTCCGACTAACGGAAAATGTTGCGTTCAGTTCTCAGGGCAGCGGCGGCAGCCTCGAAACACCATCTCTGCAATCGTAATCCCTCTCCGATCCTTTCGCTTTCATCAAATTACTCAGCTAAGACCCCCAAATCCACCGTGAAGAAGACCAAGAAGGGGAAGTCCAATGCCGACGCCAAAGCCGCCGATGATCCCTCCGCCACCGCTGCTGCTTCCGACGACTTAGATGCGGCGCTTTCCGATGACAAATCCCGCGCCCGCCGTCTTGCTGCCGAGGAAAATGACCCCTCACTCGACGTTGGCCCAAATGGCCGCCCTCTCTTCACCTCCGCATCCTCGCTCTCGCAGCTCACTCGCAAGGATTCAGGCACTTATTTCAAATTCAAGTACGTATACTTTCTACATTGTTTATGAGTGAATGCTTATTGGAATATTTGTTCATTTCTTTCGAAATTTCGGAAGTATGGAAGGACTGAATGAGGTACTGCCGGAGGGGTTGCCTTTGGGAATGGTCAAGGAGTTCGAGGAGTCTATGCGAAGTGCTGTGCTTGTGCGGAAAAGTTTTTTGGAACTCCGCGACAATTTCAGGCGTGTGGTTGATCCATCATTGCGGTCACCGGATGGTATTACTTTTCCTCTCTACTGTATTTTCTTTTGGGAGGGGGGTTTAGGGAAATGATTCTCGTGTTATTTGTTTATACTGAAGGAGATTGCTCAATGAGGCTGGAGACTGGACTTGAATCTTTGGTCGAATAAATGTATTTTTAAGTATTTTCGTGCTGCTATTCAAATGTCCAGGTTTAAAAATTAGAAAACAGATCGTATTGGATGGCCCTGTTAATTGTGGAAAGAGTACTGCGCTCGCCATGCTCGTTCACTGGGCGCGGGATGAAGGTTGGCTAGTTCTTTATGTTCCTAGTGGGCGTCGGTGGACTCATGGAGGATTCTTCTTTAAAAACCCTCAAACAGGACTTTGGGACACACCCATCCAGGCTGAAGATGTTCTGAGAGTGAGGACTTTTTCCTGCTAATTAAGAGTTAGATAGAAGTAATTTTGCATTTTTTCAGGATCTTCTAGTGCATTTGTTATGAATATGCAGGCCCGAATTTCAATAGTTTTCTTCCCCAACCTCTGAATTCCTTGGATCGCTATTTCATGCTTTATTTTTTCGTCGTTTTAACTCTCGGACCTTGTATGTGTATCAAATGTAGTTTAATAATTTGTTTTCTAATTCTATTGTCAAATTTTAATTCTCACACACCATGTTGAAAATCTTTACAAGGGAAGTGATCTCTCGTGATCATGATTCTTTATGGTAGCTGACTGGGAAATGTTTCGTGCATATTGTTAGCTATTTTGTGATAAGCTTTCAGGAGATCATGTGAGGACTGAGGATAATATGTAAATCTGAAACAGTTGACTTATTCATTTTTCTTTGGCGGGTTGGTTTTGACCAGGATTTTCTGAAGTACAATGAAACCCGCTTAAGACAATTGCCATGTCAAATATCTGAACCTATACCATTGGGAGAGGGTGTTGGTGTTGGCATGATGAAAGGTGCTGATTCCATGACGATGCCTGAGGGTTCAACTTTATATGACTTGATTGATACTGGAATCAAGCACACCCATGCGGCGGTTGGGGTGGTAATTCGTTTAAGAAAAGAATTATCCCTTGTGAAAGATATTCCTGTGCTAATTGCTATTGATCAAGTGAGTCACAAGTCTGCATCTGTCCCTTCATTGATTTCTAACATTCAGTTTCTTGGATGAGTTGGACCTTTCAAAGTTAACTTCAATGGCAATAATAATTATTAAGATTGCTTATTTGTTGCTGTTACTTGTCCAGTATAACAACTGGTTTACATTCAGTGAGTATGAAGAACCAGTGACTGTACGTTCTACTCGAACCATACATGCTAGAGAACTTGCAATGGTTAGTACAAACAACTTGGTTGGATTCGTTTTATTATGTTCAACTCACTTCTATTTCTTGCAATGCATTGGAAGTTCGTGGAATATCTTGTCGGGTTTCTGTTCCTTTTTCTTAGGTAAACATCTTCATACTTTATGCCAGCTAAACTACCTCCTGCGTTTAAGTTTCACAATGGAACTGGTCCACCTTCTATCTCGAAACAGGGAAAATAAAACATTAAATGTGAAATATTTCCCTACCTTTTTATGATGGAAAACAAACATTCTTCCCTGAAAATCTTAGGTAGACTGCAATTTTAGCCTTCAACTCAGACTCCTTTCACATTGAACGAAGAATGTTATACTTTTTTATTATGAGAATTGGGTCCATGGGTTCTAATTTAGTTTGAATTAGACAGTTTTTCCCGACAGTTAAATTAGCCAGCTCCTGTACTTCCATTTTTTATAACCTTTGTAGTTTTGATTCCTTTGCCTATAAAATTTAATTTTGCTATAAATCTCATGTCCCACATTTTTTTATTTATTTATTTCTCCTGTTCCAATTGTTTGGGGAATAAAGCAACTCCCTTATCTTCAAAGATATAAGAGAGATGCTTTGATTGTTTTTTTTAATACTTGATCCTTTTTGGCTCTCACTTTGTGTAAATTTTTCATCATATTTTTGCAGTTATAGTCTTTCATCTCCTATTGCCCAAAGTTTTTTTTTTTTTAAATTCTTTTGGATAACTCCCTTTTTAGAATTTCATCTCATCGATGAAATGTTCCTTATCCAAAAAAAAAAAAAAATTGTTCAGGGACTAAAAAACAATATCACAAATAGAATGATTTGGTCCAATTGCCAAATAAGAAACTAAAGTTGAAAGAATGATTAAATCAACGATGTTTTGTGAATACAAGTAAAGAATTATTATGGTTAGTCTTAGGAATTATTGTTCTCTTTTGTTATGTAACTCTCTTGGAGTATTTATTAGTCACAGTTTCACTTCTTGTTTCAACAATGTTTTATCTATCTTCCAAATTAGACTTTTTCTATCGTTTCTTTCCTATGTATCATTTAGATTAGTTTTCTTTTGGAAACCTACAATTCAATTTGATTTCAAATCTGATAGGTCCTAGATTGTACAAAAACAAAAGGGTTCGAGGTATTGGGGCTTCAATCCTCTTCTAGCTTGGATATTTTTTCCAATTAATGATAAGAATTACAATTTTTTCACAGGTAAAAGCTTTTAGGTCTATGATGCATGACGACATGATGGTGGGTGCTTTCTCTCATTCAACTGCTGTAGGAAAGCTGCGTCAAGACTTGCCGGATGTTCCTCTAGATGCCCGTGTGAATTTCCCTCGCTACAGTCTTGATGAAGCAGCTTCTGTTTTCCACTATTACCTTAGGTACGCTTGTCTGGTTATTTTGAAAAGAAACTAATTTCATTGAAAGAATTAAGAATGTTATAGAAAGAGAGAAAAGAATCCTACAAAAGCTTTGGTTAGTCAAGGATTTCAAATAAGACCCTGACTTGGATATTAGAGGAGATAGAGTATGGTAAAACCCACATTTATTTATGAAAACAAGGAAACAAAGGGAGTTTGGAGATCCTCACTCCCCAGTCCCCCCAAAAGCACTCAAAATATGATTCTTACAGAAAAGATGCTAAAAGTCTGCCTTCCGAACCACAAAACAGGTATTTAACCAGCCCCAAAAACTCACGTCACTCCCCTCCCTCTAACTAACAATATTCCCTTCCCTTAGGCCCACAAGATCAGCATAGCACACGCCCCTTACATATTACGTGTCCCTTCCCCTCCTAATTTCTTACATGTATAAACTTGGGTAATTGGGTCTATCAGAGTATTTGAAAAAGAAAACCTCCTTTCATCGACTCTAATAGAGGTGATGGTAACTTACAGAAAGAGTTAGCTGTTAGATTGTTTTGCTCACTGCAGTCCCGTCTCTCCACCTATATCCTAGATTCCTAAAAATTTTCTTATTTCGAACTTCTCAAATCTCATAAAATAGAAAATCTGGAACTTGACTTGATGTATACTAGAATGAACTAGGCTTGTTGACAATATTCCCTTCCCTTAGGACCACAACTAGTTTTCAAGACTCCTATCGACAAGGAAGCAACCTATTACCGATTGGAAACCGTCCAGGTACACTCCTTAGCCAGAGAACAATGGAAAAAACAAGTGATCACGATTTTCTCCATTTTCAGTTGAATACCCATCTCTGCATGCATGGTGGGTGGAGGCATCTTTCTGGCGCTATATACTTGTATTGTTTCCTACTAGAGAAAAAATCGACCTCCCAAAAGGCAGTTTATGAACTCATTTTCTTCCGAGACTTGTTGTCTTACAAATCATTTAAGGCGTAGCATAATTCACAATGCTAATTTGTTGCTGCAATCCAGATAATAGCTTGTATTACAAGAAACAAGAACATTTCATTGGGAAAAGGGAAATATACAAGGGACTAAAGTAAAGGGCACTACAAAAAGTTTCTCCTACTGCAATAAATGGCTTAGTTAATAGTTGGAATAGGAAGAGTATAAAATGCTCCTGGAAGAAACAAAAACAAAATATCAAGAGTTCTATCAATCCCCTGGAGATTCTGTTGCTTCAGATGAGAGTTTCCTTGGCCAATAGATTAGGTACGTATTTTCCAGTTGAGAGGGGCACTGTTAACTGTGAGGGTCAAAGTGGCTGTCACTTAAATCTATTGGCTGTCTGATAATGTAGTCTGATCTTTTATGTTAAGACTTTTCTATGAACAACATTCAGTACACTTGAGGGACTTTTGAATTGGAACTAAAAGTTCTGTAACATGAATGTCACTTGTCACGATTTAGTCTGAAATTTAACGTTGCCTGCTTCAAGTATCAATTCCTCCGCAAGGACAATTATTAGCTCACGTACCACTGTGTGGTTGTTAAGTTTGTGATTCTAGTTGGAGGATAAACTCTAGTATGCTTTGCTGAGCTAGTTGTTTGTCGTTTTCTTGACAGACAAAGACTAATACGCCGTGAAGCCTTCACAGAGGATGCCTGGAAAAAGATATACTATTTGTCGAATGGGAATGGAGCGGAAATGCGGTGGCTGGTACCGTTGATGCGGTGACACCAATGTCCCAAATTTTCTCCACCCTCTGCTCTCAGGCTCAGTTCAACACATTTACTGCAGCTGCAGACATGGTACCGAGTCCAGTGTTTGTATTTGTAATTTTAGCGACCCATTGGAGAATTAACCCTTTACAAGGCACAATTTTTACACTTCTCTACACTTATGATCCTTTTTGTTCTTTTTTTTTTTTTATAATATATTTATTTAAATACATTGTTCAATAAGGTGTTATCTCTGTTTAGAGGAAAAGCTTAGATGCTGCCCTCTTGGCCACCAATTTAGCAGTAATGTCCGAATTGTATTTTAAATTCCACCATGAGAAATGTTGCCAGATACATAATGGTGCAAGTTTTTGCACGGACAAAAATGTTTTCAATTTCGTTATGGTACCGCTGGACAAAAATGATAGTTCTACCATTGCATGAGCCATTGACTGCTAGACTAATTCTGAATCGTCAATATCAATTGTTAAAAGATTTTTCTGGCTGCATTTTAAACAGTCAATGCAAATATAGGTATCTCAAGTAAATTCGCACTATAAATTCCCCATTGTAGATCCTAAAACCCCTTTAATCCATTTCAACTCAAATATACTATCAATCTCAATATTTTAATATTCGACTTTGAACTAAGATTGCATTTCACCTCCCCGTCACCATCAACGTCCACCCGTAGACCAACGAAACACAAAATTACAGGCTCACATCTCATTGGACAAATGAATCGTAGAATCAGAGTAAACTAATAAAATTGGTAGACATACAAAACTTTAGCATTCCAACTTCAAGAGCTTGAAACTATTGCACTAAACCTAAAAGATAAATTATATACAAATCCAAAAATTAAGAAAGCTCACTCTACCCAGCCTATATTATACTTGGGGAAAATAAGTACTATAAATAGTCGAACATTATTTGAAGTGAAAACCGTATCCTAATCCGCTGTGTTGTGCCAAAGGGGAGAGTTTGTAATTATGTTCAACCCCTCTTCTTTTATGGCGTTCAACTGTTAGCACAGCCAACGAGGCGGCTTTAAATGTCTGATTGTGTACCTGAGCTCCATTATTGGGCAGCTGATGCAAGAATTATCTTCAAAACTAGTGGCCCAGTTGAAATCCAGGGTTAAAATGGAGACTGGCACAGAGGGCAAGTTGATTTATGTGAAGTGGAGAACCATTTATAAAGACAGGCTGAATGGAACTTGTGCTTGCAGGTCTTGCAAGCCAAGCGAGGAATGCTGTGGTTGACTGTGTGGATGACACTGTAACAAATGGGACACTCTTCAACTCCTTCAAACTCCTTGTCAAAATTACGCTTCCATATTCTTATTGCTTCTGCTAAAGCACCATTCTGCACCACACAAAAGAAATCTATATCATCCAAAATTGACCCAAAATGCCCCTATGCTGGATCCTTTCACTCACTCCCACTTGATTCTCTCTGGTCACCTTAACAAGATATAATATTAGTTCTATTGCCAGAGATATCTACCTCCCAAGTTCCTAACCATCTCTTGGTATCTCTACACATCTACTGATTAATTGTTCACATGTTTAGCACCTAACCTAATACATGGAATATACCTGATTGGGGGTTCTAATTTTCAAATTTTTTCGCTTTTCTTCTTTTAAGTTGACCTTCCTCCTTCAGTAAAGAAGACAGTAAAAAAATACCTGGTTACGGACAAACGACATCATGGACAATAACCATTTACGCTGCTTAACTTCGCTTATTCCCAAGCTCCTCATACAATCAACGTCAACATGCCTCAGTGGATATGATGAAGGAAGGCGAATTACTAGGTCCATCCCTGTCTCGTCTTTAGTATAGGTAGCAATTACCTCGTTGGCTGATTTACTTACAACAACTGAGAAATTTTCATCAGCAAATTCAGCTTTCTTTATCTGTAGCAAAGAAAATATTTTTGAAAAAGAATGATAGCATTAGATTCCGACTAGAAAAGGTAATAATATTTGTACTGCTAATAAATGAAGCATTCACCACAAGACTTTCAAAAACAGGAACATGAACTCCCATGGCCGTGCATTAGAGGGTGGGGAGAACACAAACCTGGGACAATTCATTTGCAATGAGAGAAGGACTGCACCATGCTTTTGTAAAGGATTCAATTGCAGAAGACTTTGAACGGTCACGCAGATCACTGAACCACCCTCGAACGTAAGCAGGAAGAACACGAAGCATCAAGCCAAAAATTGCTCCAGCAAAAGACGCCAGTTTCACTGGTTCAACCAGCCAAAGAAATTCCACAGAAAACAACAATGAACCTATAGTAATGGCTTGGTTTGCTGCAGTTGAAGCTTCTGATAGCCCTGCTGGAAGCTCTGTATCTTTCTTCTTCTGAAGAGCCATACCTTCAACAGGTATATGCTGGAAAAGGCAATCTAATATCCCTGAGCTAGCCGAGTTCTGGATATATTGGACCAATCTTTCCCTTGAAGGTGAGGATGGCGGCAGTGACCATAAGTGCGACAACAACAAAGACCAAGCGAGATATATATTCACCTACAGAGATTAAATCCTAAGTATCAGAAGGTCATTAAATCCTATTAAAGAAACAACTGTCAACCGCAATTAAATGGCAAGAAAACATTGAAGATAGTGTACCCACCCTTTCTTGGGCGATCAACTCCATGTCAAAAAAATTATTAGGGAGTTTCTCAATCATACATGATATTTCCTCCTTCAAAATCACGTTATATTCTGATGAAAAATCAACTTGGGTGGAGCCTTGTTCAGTTGTGGCATCATAATCCAGATAGCAAGGAGTATTTTCTCTAATTATTGCAGAGTAAGAAATTGGTTCGGTTGAGAGCATAACATAGGCTGCATACTGCAACGAAGGAACTGGTTTGGGGGAAAAAAGGATGCCATACAAAGAACTAACAGGTCCTTTACTGAGTCCCCAAAATTCAATTGATTTCAATGCTCTCTCCCTAGCGTCTTTTGAGGATTTAGTAACAATTGAAGCTATCAAGTCCCAGAAGTAAGGAAGTTCAAGTCTTGAGGATGATATAATGGATGCAGCCTTATCACAGCAGGAGCATGCAACGGCCTCAGAAATTCCAGTGCAAAAAAACATGCGAAGAATACCTTCAACAATGCGATCATTGACATGGTTCAATTTATCTAATTGCAGGGGGTTTAGACTTTCCATATCTTTCAGGCCTTGTAGCCCAAAAGAACCATCAAACAAAGAAAATGATAAAAGGGCATTTCTAGAAATGCAAAAAGGGACTGGGTCTGAAATCAAAACACTTTGCTCAAGCTTTTCTAAGATTTCATCCAAATTCCTAGACGTTGAGCTCTTAACAATGATATCATCCACGCTTTCAGCAATTTCCTCCATTATTACAACAGCTGATTGGATCCAACTCATTAACTGGAGCAACAGAAACTCCCAATCTTCATCATTGAACTGCTTCCAGCAGTAACCGACAGAAACAACCATAAGCTCTGACAATAACATTTGTACCCATGGTGCATGGTTAACTGCAGGTGATTTAACGGATATTTTTCTCTGTTTTTGAAATAATTCCAATAAGAGGTTGCTTTCCTCAGTGCTTATATTCCTGTCCAGCTTCAACGTTAAGCCTGCCATGGAACTACTAAAAGGATAACAAGATATCACCAACAAGAGCCAATCTTCCATATCTACAAGAAGAGATCAAACCCATCATTAATAACAAACAATGTCCATGCAACAATAAATAGACCACAAATCACACAAATGATATAATTATTAAAAGAAATTTCCATACTGGCAAAACATAAAATGAAAGCTGTAATAATCAATAACCATTCATACCAAACAGTAAGAACAATGAATGAAATTTACACGCGACTCCTAATTATTCTCTTTTTTTTAGAAGAAACTGTACTGAATTTGAAGCAACACAAAAGAAGACAGCCCGAGGGCAGGGGTGGAGGAAAACTCCTCCCAAACAAAAGGCAATCATAAAAAGGCCTTCAAGTTTTTAATAATCATGCAGAGACTATAATTACAAAAGAGCTCTTTGTGATCTGCACTCCACCATGAAGCCAAATGTTGTATACTAGACAAAGAATCATCTGAACACTTTTTTCCCTAAAAAATTCTAAGGTTCTTTTCCTTCCATATAAGTCATAAGGTATCTCTCACTGCACAGTTCCACAAAATCTTAGGTCTCTTTTTGAATTTCAGCCCCACCAGCCCCTCATCCACTCTGTTTGCAAGGACGTATTGACAGCCCAAATTCATTCTAAATGAAACTCCACCCACTGTGGGCAATGAAGAAAAAGGTGATCTAAAGACATTGCAAAGGCTGCAAATAAAAGGAGACAAAGGCGAGTTGGGAAACCTTCTCTGAAGCCTCTCTCAGTGTTATGACTCCTATACATCATGGACCAAAAGAATATTTTCACCTTTCCAGGGATATGGAGCTTCCAAATCATGTTGATCCAGTGATCCATGGACTCTCCTTCCAGTTTAGTGAACTGCAAAAAGGCAGATTTAAAGGTACAAGCTCCACTGGACTCCAAAGTCCATTTAATCTGATCATCCCCCTCTTGTAGCTGGACTTTCTTTAGAATAGGGATGAGGGAATCAAATTTCCATCCTCTCTATCAAATAAACCTCTTCTTATCCCAAAGTCCCACATTTGATGATCAGCCATCTACAGTGAGGCATGGAAGACTCTTTCTTCAGGGAAATAGTATAAATATCTAAGAAGCTCAAGGATAACAGGATAGAATCCGCCCATGCATCCTCCAAAAATTGAATGAGATTGCCATTGCAAGCTAAAAACTAAGTGAATGGAAAAAAAAGCAGTCACTGTTCTTAGAGATCAACTCAAGGTCTCCTCCCTACCTTGCCTTTGATGCTTTTGGTCATCCAGCCACTTGAATCACAGCCATAAAGTGCCACAATCACCCTTCTCAGCAGAGCATTCTTCTCTCGAGTAAAGTGCCACAACTACTTCATAAGGAGAGCCTTATTCCTTTGTCTAAGGGAACCCACGCCTAAGCCCTCATATTTGGTAGGGAGGGGGTAATGCTCCAAACACCAAATGGCCCCCAGGCTTGTAGACGCCCCACCCCAAACAAAATCTCAGTTTTTTCCAATGAATCCATGAAATTTTGGCCTTGAGGAGGGAAAAAAGATACACTGGAAAGCTATTAAGAACCGCCTGTGCTAAGGTAAGTCTGCCACCCTTTGAAGAAATGAGGCCCCTCCATTTATCCAGCTTTGCCTCAAGCTTATCGACCTAAGGCTCCCACATAACAACAGATCTTTGGTTGGTTACCTCCCAAGTGTATAACCGAGATAAGAGATAGGCCAACATTCTTTTTTTTTTCAGATAAGAAACTTTGATATATTCCACAAAAAACAAAGGAAACAACCTAAGGGCTGGGGTAGAGAGAACCCCACCTAAAAGAGAGCTAAACAATCTCTTTCCAATTGTTTGTGACCATGGAAATGTTCTAATTACAAAAGAATTTCCTATAATTGATGCATCACCAAAAGGCTGTTGTACATTTATCCAAAAAATTTCAAAAGTAGAAAACTTATCTTCGAAAACACGAGAGCTTCTTTCCAACCAAAGGTACCACATAAGAGATCTCGAAGCACAAATGAGGTTCCACCCATAGAGAGCTTCAGAGAGCCAACCATCTATTTGATTAGGGAGGCAGAATGAAAGCCCGAAAATGTCAAAAAGGAATAGCTGAAAATGTCAAAAAGGAATTACCAGCCTTTCTTCACAAACAGACAGTGGAGGGAGAGATGGTCTAAGTTCTCATTGCTATTCAAGCATAGGCTGCACACCAAGGGGGATAACATCCAATTGTTGCACTTCTTTTGCAAAGTCTCGCGGGTATTCAAACTTCTATCCGCTAGGGACCAAAGGAGCACCTCAACCTTCTTTGGAGCTGTAAACTTCCAAATAGCTGGAATTAGGATGATCTTAGAGAGGGACAAACCAACCCAGTCCTCCCCCTCACCCAACCGCACCACATCTATACAGTGTATAAGGTTCATCCAGCTCTTCACTTCCCAGTCATATAACCCTCTGCGAAAGCCCAAGTCCCAATCATTTTCGTTACTCTGCAATTGTGGCCTCCTTTTTCATGGAGAGATTGAACATAAGGGGGAAGTATTCTGGAGGGGGCTATCCCATATCCACTAATCAGACCAAAACTTTATACGACTTCCTTGTTGCAGCTTGAATTTGAGAAATTTGGAGAAGTTGCTGTTTTTAAAAATATTAAACCAGGGGCACCCTTTGGCTCTGCCTTTTGGCGAAAGATATGACCACCCGAGAGAATCTTCCCCATAAATGCTAACAATTACCTTTCGCCAAAGAGCTTCCCTCTCTTGAGTAAAGCACCCCACCATAGTCGCTTCAAGAGCAGACTGTTGTTCTTCTGAGTCAACACCCCTATACCGAGCCCTCCCAACTGCAAAGGTAGGGCAGTTTTCCCCCAACTCACCAAATGGTTGCAATAGCCTTTCATGCAACTCCTATTCCAGAAGAAATTTCTTGTTAACTTTTCCAGCTCTTTGATCACCCCCACTGGAGCTTTCAGTATAGAGAAAAAATTTAAAGGGAGGCTAACGAGCACTGATTGCGCAAGAGTTAGCCGACCTCCCTTAGAAAGATTGAGGTGCCTCCATTTATCTATCTTTCTTCTAACTCTATCCATCATCGAGTCCCAAAAGACTTTCTTTCTATAGTTCCCCCCGAAAGGGATTCCCAAATAGGAAAAAGGAAGCGTTTCCACTTTGCATCCCAAATTACAAGCCGTTGTGTGCAACGCATCCTCTTCCACGTTTATTCCAATCAAGGTCGTTTTTCCACAGTTCAAAGAAAGCCCCGAAGCCTGAAGAAAAATATTCAGTATCATCCACAAATTGTCCAGTAGACCTGTCTCATTAGGGCAGAAAATCATTGTATCATCAGTGCATATTGCAAATGGGAAATCTCAATCCCCGGTCTACCTACCTCAAAGCCTTTAATCAGTCTCTGTTGGCAACAAAAGTGGACCAGCCGACTAAAAGAGTCACCAATCAAAGTGAAGAGGAAAAGGGAAGGGGGAACCCCTTGTCTCAAGCCTCTTTTCGTTATAATTTTTCCCCTCGGTCTTCCATTTATAAGGATGGAGAAGTTCACCGATGATCAACAACCCCTTATCCATCTTCTCCATATAGGGCCAAAGCCTTTTTCCTCCAACACCGCATCAAGGTACAACCAATCTACTTTTCCCGAGACTAACCCACTACACTCCTTCTACCAGAAAACGAGTCCCTGATGTTTCTCCATAAAGCCTTTCATAAAAGTTAGTTATCTCTTAAACTACCTCATCCTCCGTTCTTAACAAAACACCATTTTATTTTTCCAACAATGAGATCATGGTTTTAGACTTTCTAGCGGAAGACCATCTGTGAAAGAAGTTTGGATTTTCGTCCCCTTCTTTTAGCCATTGAAGCTTGCACTTTTATGCCCGTTTCCTTTGTTCACGCATAGTTAAGTTCAGGTAGGTTTTTTTTTGAGATCTTCTCTTTCTTTCCTTTCCTCTTACATTGCCGTAAAGAATCCTCTACTACTCCAAAAGTTTCTTTATTACATCTTCTCAGCAGAGTTTTAAGGCCCTTCAGCTTTGCCATAAAGGAAAAGCCTGGTCATTTCTCCGAAGGGAGGTTCTTCCACCACTCTTCTACCGCGTCTTTAAAGGAAGGGTGGTCCATCCACATATTCTCAAAGCGAAATGGGGAAGGGCCCCATTTTTGGTTGCCTTAGAAGGTGAAATGATCCGAAGTAGTGCGGGGGAGGTGAACTAGCTCAACTTCTCTAAAGGACTCAAGCCATTTTTTGCCTATTGGAAAGGAAGAAACGATCTATTCGAGTAGCAGATCCTTCTCTAAAGTCCAACCAAGTGAACTGGCCATTATTTAGAGGGACATCAAACAAATTCAGCTCTTCGACCAGCATATTAAAGTTTCTCATACTCCTCGTGATTCTACCTCCATTTGACTTCTCCTCAATCCTTCTCACCACATTAGTCTCCCCCAAAACACCACCGATCTTCATAGAGGCTCAAATTCAAAATCTCTTGCCAAAAATCATCCCTGCCTCTATATCTAGAGGGCCCATAAACTCCTGTGATCCAACCGCTAAAGCTATCTTTATAATTACTAAAATTGAAACCGATAAAACTCCTATAATCGT